CCTGGGCGGGGGGCCAATCCTACAGGCCGAGAGTGGTTTCTGTGTCGGCGCACGGGTGGCACCAGCCCACATGACCCCCCCTTCCCCCCGCAGCGCTGGAGCCAGCTGGGAGGGAAGCGGGCATGTTCCCCCGCGTTTTCCTGAGCCAGGCTTGTTGATCCGCCTCTAACTCACCATCCTTATCTGCTGCCCTGCTTCTTCCAACCTCTCTATGTGGTTAGACTGCACAGTCCTCGGGGCAGAGAAGACTTCGGAGCCAATGAAGGGAGGTGTTAAACTGTAGTAGCTCAGTGTGGAGGAGGCTGGTGCATGAATTAGTTCCCCTGACAAACCTGTTTTCCATGTAACTCATTCTGGGGGTGGGGTTGTGAATGACTAGCTTTAAAAAAAGCCAGACATTACATAGGACAGCCTGCTCACATTATGAGGATCAATATTTCTACTCCTTGAGGTGATGCAACAGGCCAGTAGTTTATATTTCTTAACAGACATAATAATTTCTTACAAACCACTGCAAGGGATCTGTGCACAAGTTCGTGTGCTATGACATTTGATAATCTTATTAGCAGAAATGACTAGCTTTAAAAAAAGCCAGACATTACATAGGACAGCCTGCTCACATTATGAGGATCAATATTTCTACTCCTTGAGGTGATGCAACAGGCCAGTAGTTTATATTTCTTAACAGACATAATAATTTCTTACAAACCACTGCAAGGGATCTGTGCACAAGTTCGTGTGCTATGACATTTGATAATCTTATTAGCAGAAATCATAGTTTTCCTACAGATTAATTTGAGGAAAGATTAAAGCATGTCCACATAGCTGTTTCTGTCATCTGTGTCCTCAGTGGTAGCTACTTTAATTATGGAGTCAATTGGAAGAAGTGCTATAATCTTATAAATCATATTCACAATCTGGTTTCCTTATTCTGTTCGGGTTTGGAAAACTGATCTTGTAACTTGTGTGTTTGGGTTGCAGGCCCCATCAAAATCAGCTGGCAATACAGAGAGTTAGCTTAAATAAAGGTCAATTGGTTAGCCCCGTACACTGACTTGGTAATGAATCATTTAAAAACTTGATAGAGTGGTACGCTTATTTTCACGGTTGGAAAAAATCTAAATCAATTAGAAAATTTAAATTGGGCCTTGACACAAACTTTTATCTCTTCTAATGAACTAGAAGATATACCGTAGCACAGTGGTCTCCAACCTTTTTACACCCAAGATCACTTTTTAAATGACAGTCCAAGCCAAGATCTACCGCCCCGGCCTTTCCTTGAAGCCCCGCCCTCTCTATTCTCCTCCTCTCCATCCCTTGCTATCCCCCATCCTTATACTGCTGCTTTAAAAAAAAATTCTTCTGTAGGAAGATGTTTTTCCAACATTTGGCCTGAAATGGAGGCTGCCCCGCTCTCCAGCTGATTGGCGGCTTCTCCTCTGCGCCTGCCCACGTGGAGCTTGGTGCACCCTGGCTGAGCGCCATGGCCAGCTGGCCAGGCAGCCGCTTCTCTTTGCTCCCCAGCCAGCTGACTGTGGCTTTCACAGCTGGAGCTAGATGCAGCCTCCCTGGGTTGAGTGCAGGGCAGCACAGTCAGCTGGCTGGGGTGTTTCAGCTCTCCCGACCTTCCAGCTCCTACCATTCCTCGCAGCTACTCACTTGTGTTGCTCGGTGAGTAGCTGCTCCTCAAATGAGAAAATCTAATGTAAATGTCCTGCGCAGGCGCGCAGTTCAGAGAGGGCTCAAGAGCTACTCTTAGAGCCCCTGAGATCTACCGGTAGATCGCGATCTACTGGTTGGTGACCACGGCCTTAACACCTCTAGCTAAGTACTCGTAGCTTTCTTAAGCAATATGGATAATAATCATTCTTGATGATTTGGATTGTCTAGAGTTCTTAATAGCAGCAGTGAAACAAACCAGAATCTTGTTACTTTCTCTGCTGTTGCTGATGATAATGATATATGGTGCAGGAAAAGTACCATACCCATTTACATGACGACTGTGATGGAATATTTTCTTCCGGTTTGTCTTCTGTTCACTTTTGGAAGAATCCCTAGAGCCCTCCGCAGAGACAAATGTCTACCCATGAATACAGATACCTGCGGATAAACATCAGTATTCCCTGTTCTGCGGGGCTGTACTCCCAAGAGACGCTGTGGCCAATGGAGAGGAGTATGGTTTCTTCATTCTATGGAGCCAGTGCCTTGTGCTGGTGTTTTCTCCCGGCAGTGTGGCTATACCCCCCCCAGCCCTTCTGCCAGCTGCAGTGTTTCCTGTCTGGTGTCATACAGACCATGGTAGACCTGTGTATGCATTCTTAGAGCCCTTAATGGATAAGGGATATAAAGTTTATCTTAAATAAACCATATTCATTTCATCACCATTGGAAATAAGAGAAAGCGTTAAATAGAAAAATAGCAAAAATATTAAAAGCTTGAACACACAAGATGTATTCTTAAGTGGCTGGTAGAGTAATTAGAAAAATTAAGGACTGTTTTTAGCTTCTAATATAAAAATACTGGTCTTCAATGTCATTTTTAGAGGGCTTGTCTGATGCTATAACGTTTCAGAGGTTGGGAGTACAAAGAAATACATAACTTAATATCTGGGAAGGATACATTTGAGAGAGCATATGGTGCTGCTTAACAGTGGCATCTGACTATGGTACTGATGGGGTTCCAAAAAGGGCACTGTACAGTCCTCCGCTCCTTGGGGCTTTTAGTAATGCAGTGCAGAGCTAAAACTGAATCTGAAGGGTCCTGATGTAACATTAAGTCAAGACGACAGAATATGGAGGGCTGCATAAAGTCCATGTGTCACTTTTTGCCTGGGACACTCATACTAATTAAGCTAATTATTTGGAAAAAAAATGTAATATACCTAATTTAGAGACTGAGAAACAGAAGGGTAGCTAACAAAATAAACATACTGGATCTAAGTATCTCCAAAATGTTTTATTCTTTATAGGTGACATGTAATGCCTTGTCTACAACCAATTTATAAGGAATGGTTTTGGCACAGCTTGATAAGTTACTTATTCTGAAACATCGATTGCTTCTTATAATTTATCTGTAAGTAAGTAAATATAATATGCTAAACTTAAAATGATTTTAACAAATTTTGCTTTGTGACTAGTATACATTGTAAATAGACAAAATTAATAATGCAGTATATCTCCTTTTATATAATATATATATAATAATGTACTTTAATATCATACGAGTATATGAAAAAGTTTGTAGAAATTTGGTTCAATTACTGTTTTGCAGAAATGGCAGCTCATAAAAGGAAATCTGCAATAGCAGAACCTTCTGCTAAACGTCGGAAGCTAAATAAGAACAGCAAATCATCAACAAAGAAAGAGAGAGAGGTGTCAGCTGTGAAACATGTCTTAAATAAATCAAAGCCAAATAAAAGTGCAGTACAGAAGAAAGCAGTGCTTAAAATCTTGGTCAAACCCAACAGGTCAGTGGTAAATAAAGCCATCAATAATTGTGCTAGGCTGTCCTCCCATTCTAAACTAGTGCAGAAACATTCCAAGCAGAAAGATCGTCAAATAAAGAAAAGATCCAGTAAAACAGTACCTATGAAAAGATCATCCCTAAAATCACTAAGTAGGGTATCTACTACAAAAACATCCTCCAGATCTTCAAAAATTAACCATGCTACCTTCTTGAAATCTACAAAACCTTCCTCCAAAACAGATCCTGAAGGGAAGGACAAGCGTTCTTTGCAAACCAAAGTTGCAGTGGAAAGCAAGAGACAACAGCAATTAAAATCAACTTCAGATATTAAAAAGCATTCATCCAAATCCCAAAGTATTAGGCAATCTGTCTTGCTGTCTGTAAAATCTTTAAATGAAACTACACTTAGGAGCAAATGTGTGGAAATGAAATCTGCAGAAAATAATTCTAAAAGTCCTAAAGTTGTAAAAAGTACAGATAAAAATGTAGGGATACAAGTTCAGAGTTCTAAAAAGGTTCTTGCAAAAAAGTCAACTTCTCAAGATGTTGAACGACAAACGATTACATCTTTGAGTGACAACAAATGTGAACCTGAATTAGGTATGCGCATGATGACAAGATCAGGTACAAATAATAAAATTACTGTCCAAGAACAACCAAAAGCCACAAAAAATAAGGCAGTGCCTCAGAAGAAGTCAGTTCAAGAAATTCCTAGGCCAAGATGCATCATCCCAAATGATCAGCTAATCAGGCGGTCACATAGATTGCAGCAGTTATCAGATATGCCTGCAAGATCCCTTCGTAATAGAGAAATTAAAGAAGGAAAAACTTCAGGAAAAACTTCAGAAGTGAAACAGGGTATTCAAACAAAAGGATGTATTCAGGGTACTAGAGTTGAAACAGTTAAATCTGTTAAGCGGAAATCAGAACAGAAAAATAAGAAAACAAAATCTAATTTTGTAAGTGGAAATGAAGAAATAACTATAGGAATAACCAATTCTCTTCCAGAGAAAAAATGTAAAATGGACCATAAAATCAAAGATTCCAACAGTTCTCAACATAGCCTGAGAGGCTCTAGATTATTTTTTGATGATAAAGTAGAAATGGTAAGTCCTCTTCAACCAACTTCTGTGATAACAAATAAGGAGAAACAAACAGTGCATCAGAATGTGAAAAGCAGTGTAAAAACAGAGACAGTTTCACAGCCACCTGTAAATGAAAGAGATTTAGCCCATCGGCTGGAGAATGTAGTGAAGTCTAAACGGGTAAGCATTCTGGAACTCTGTGAAGAAATTGCAGGTGAAATTGAGTCAGATACTGTAGAAGTGAAAAGAGATTGTCCCAACACTGAATGTAGAAAAGGAGAAGAGAGACATGCAGAAACACAGCTGCCGCAGACGGTAATGCTTAATCAGAAGGAACCAAATCAGAGCACTCAGTGCAAGCGTTTTTTCCCCAGCAAAAAAGGAATACCTGTCAAATGTATTCTGAATGGCAGAAATAATCCTACAAACAAAAACTCTAAGTGGACCAAAATTAAACTAATGAAAGCTAATAAAATGCATCAAAATAAATTAAACTCTGCAAGTGTTCCCAAGCTGGATTTGTTAACAACTAAAACTGAAGTTCCAGAGTCAAGTCAAGCAGCAGGTGCAGAAATACTGCTTTCAAAGGCCCAAGATAAACTGTCAATGACAAAGCCATGTGAGGATAAAAGTACAACTCATGTACAGGAGAAATTGGGAGCAGTTTCTTCTGAGACAGTCAGAGCTAAAGATGTGACACCAGAAACAAAGCAACCCACAAAAAGAGTTGCTGAAAATGGTTTGTTGGATAATCAGACAAAACATGTTCCTGAGCCAACACCAGATGAGGTAATTCTTTTTATTTCTGGAATATGGTGGGAGGATACTTCTCTAAACTTGTTCTAGTACCTAACAGTGCTGTCTGTGCTTGTGTAACTAGCTTTCAGTAACACTTTTAGTTGCAAAAAACCAAACCAAACAAACACCTTTCAATACAGGAACCTTATCCTGCTGTTGTGTTAACTTGTGCTTTTCCTATAAATCAAATAGGAAGACACCTCTATTATGCTTTACTAAGGGTTAGGGGAGCAGACAGCCTCCGTGGGCCCTGAGGCAAGGTGGAGGCAGCTCCATGCTCCCAGAAAGGACAATGCTGGGATAGCCAGCCCTCTGTGCCCTAGCCCTTAGTCACACAGAGTGCGCAGCGGTGGTGCTCCAGCAGCAATTTAAAGAGCATGGGCTCCCACTGCTACTGCAGCTGCTGGGAGCCTCGGGGCCCCTTTGAATTGCTGACATTGGGACAACTTCCCACTTTGCCCCCTCCTCCCCTGTTGGTGAGTGTGCTAAGGGTAATAGTTTAAAAAAATTATCTTCCAATAACTCAAGTGCATAGCATGACAGGTTGATTGATTAAAATACTATAACTCTCTTGTGCTGAAAGTGTGTATTAAGGGGAATTAGAGGACAAAGGGTTTGCTTAAATGCAGTAGTCTAAGAACATAGGAGTACATAAGGTAATCACATTCTTTCCAAATCTACATTGTTTGAAATATAGCAAAACTTTGATAAGTCTAATACTGCCAGAGATGTATACATGGGGTTGTGTATCAGTTCACTAAGCAAAGCCTCACAG